CTGATAAGTATATTCAAAAGGTAAATCATTCATATTGTGCACATTAATTTTCGTCGGTCAAGTTCATCGATCTTTTGTTAAACTCAGTTTTCAAACGTCCTCAGTTGAGATGAGAATAAATTTCATGCACTCAAGTTGATTTGTTTTGTATCCCTCTTCAGTTTGGACTGGATTCAAGCCGGGTTTCCGTAAAAGAACATTGCGAAAGGTCAGTAATTATAAAACAAAATAAAACCTTCAAGTTCAACGAGTTTTGCATTGAATAAAACAGGACTACAATACAAACGTTTCTCGTAATAAGCGTATAAGTGATGTCGGAGCTGTAGGTGTGGAAAATGGGCTGAACGTTGGAAGAAAGCGTAATAAAATATCTTAAATGTTCACTATGAAAGGAGAGAACAAAAACCAATTCGAAAATGCGAAAACGTTCGTGATACTCTATGGTAAAACTACAAAGCGACAGAGTTTTTCTAGGGCAAAAGAATCATGTTACCATCAGCACACGCACAGCTGCTCGGACAGTTTTCAAAATGTTTATTTGATATTCACTCTAGCCTTTAAAAGCAAGCTAACATTTGTGACAAATGCCAGTCGTGCAACGTTGATCTGTGTCAAGTTATTTCCTTTTGGTACAACTCGTGTAGTTCTCGAGACAAAATAGTCGAAGTACAAAATTCCCTTTCGCATAGCTAATGGTTATCTCTGAAAGAAAAATATACCCAAATGTTATCAGCCGGTGAATACAGCAAGATTCAACCTGTTGTTTTGAGATACGTTACGTAAATACTTTTGGCTACATTTCCTTCTCTATATCCGTTTTGATTTAACCATAATTTTTGTGAGCTAGCTGTTGAGGTCACTGATAATGTTCGAGGGCAACTGAGCGACAAAACGAGAGAAATTATCTCGATATTATCCTCAAGTGATCGCTGCAATAGTTTAAAAGTCAGAATATTTGTTGATTTTATTAGAAAGGTTGGCTCTTCAGGTTATAAACAAGCCGCTGTATCGGAGGAAATGTAGAAAAAAAGCAGCCTCGGGGTTCAGTTCAATTTCTGGTTTACATTACGTTAAAAAGTTTCCGTGCCTTTCAGAGGAAATGCTGTTGACACATTTATTTCTGCAGTGCGAGGTACGATTTTGAGAATTCAGCAAGACAAGCTTGACTACACAAGATGTAACGTTAAAAACCGTTATCAAATTGCCCGGTTCTTCGCATCTTCTAGTACCTTCAATCGCAAAATTAATTTTGAAAGGTGTATTTTATTTAATGGAAAAAGAGTGTTGGAGAGAGAGAGATTTTTCAACCAGTACATCATTTTGCATAAAATCTAATCGTGTTTTTCTGCGACTAAAAGTGTTCAGAAAATTGGGGGCCCTTAACGATGCCTAACAGAAGCAAAACTAAATCATAGTTTACTCAGGAAATCACCCTTCCGACTTGCCAAAGGCAAAGTTGTGCTGCTAGGCTTGTAGAGCCGTTAAAAGGAAGGCCGAAGACAGATTTCTTTTATATTCTGTGTAGATAGAAAGTGTCATGCATTACTAAATGCGTAACATGCAAGTTAAAACTTGCCTTGTGTGACCGACTTGAGATTTAACCACGTTTTATCTGCGTGCCCTCGTTGTTAGAACACTTATTTTAATAAGTTCACGTTTAAAAACATGAAAAATCCTGCAGCTGCCTTCCGCATGCCTTGGTCAGGTGAAGAGATACGATTTGGGGCTCAGGAAAGATTAAACCTAATTATACCAAGTTGCTGAATAAAAATAACAAAGATGATTTCAAGCAAGCAAGGAAAAAAATGCGTCAGAAATGTTTCACGTCTGCAATTGTAAACTTATGTTCCAGTGTTTTTAAATGTTCCAAGAGTCCTAGGGTTTTAGTAGAGCTGGGAAAAAGCCTCTTTGCTTGCGCGCAGCCTGTTAACCAATTATTGTGATACGAAAAGATGACAGATCCGGAAAACTAAAACTCGTACGTGCACTCAAAATTTAGGAAGTCCAGTTTCTTCACAATAAAACAAAGTGAAAAATAGTTAAAACTACTCTTTAACGACTCTAGCAAGGCCCGTACTCCTTATTCTTAAAAAAATATAAATAATTAAGAGCAAATGCTTCGTGAGACCTTTAACCAAACAAATTGCATGGACAATAGCACTGGGCGACAGTAAAGTGACAAATAAGAAAACGTGTCATTTTCCTCAACAATTCCTTCCATAGATGACCCAAGACTTGGTTATGGTAATTATGATAATTTTGGGGCGAAATTTGAACAGCAGCTTAAGTTGTTAATTTTTCTATTTGTATGCATGTCACCTAAATGCCTTTTTTCCAAATTATCAAGAAAACAGGGAACTTGTTGAGCAAACAATCAACTGCCAAATCACAAATCCAACGTTAGAGGCAGTTTGAAAAAAATAGTTCTTACGTAGTTCCACATCAAATGACTAATATTCATTGAAATAAAGCCCCGTGATATTTGAACAAACGAGAATAAATTAAAGAAAAAAAGAAAAACAAAATCGAGAACAAAAAAGCTTTGGATTCATCTATGATGATAATAGGCTGTACGAATATTAAACAGCGTTTTCCAAAGGGTGTATTAAAATTTCTCACTTCAATGTGATCCAGCAAAAAATCCAATCATCTTGTTCTAAAGGAGATTTTTATTGTCTTTCAGGGTATTCAATTGTTAGAGAAGGTTCTTTGTTCGATTTGAAGACTTCCAGGAGATCTTCATTACATCTATATTTCATGAAAACGCTAACTATTTTATCACTTCTATGAATGCGTTCCCCAGCTGACGTTTGGTTACTCGACAACTTGTATTAGGAAATTTTACGCCCCTCACAAGCACCATAAATTTGACTGCACCGGCCGTTCGACTGTTAAATTAGTTACGGCTGCTTCGTGTTATACTTCTCGTATCAAGACCACTTCAGTCGTGCGATAATTCTTTTGTAACAATTAGCAGGTGAGTGGGCAGGTTAATATTCACAAATATTTTTTGTTCTGAGCTGAACTTTCTCGTTCGTTCAGTGGACAACTCGCCAAGTTGAGTTGACTTAGCGAAATCAAAAGTAGCCGTATTGTATCTAACTGTTCAAATCGAAAACACATATTTCGTGTCGAGAGGACGTCCGCGTGTGTTCAGCATGTTACCTCGACAAAACAGTGTGCTTTTGAGACAATGCGAATATATGGAAAAGTTACATAATCGTGACTTTATCGAGGAATTAAAATAACGACCGACTTCAGTTCTCTTAGGCTATCTAATAAATCTAAAAAATCTAATAAATATTCTTTTAGCTGATTTAAATTCAAGGAACAAACTAGATTTTTGTTCCAGTTTCAACTGATTTGGGATCATTCTCGGACATGTTACACTGCTTTCGTTTCAAATTGTTTATTCAGACGGCCCTTGTTGATGCAACACGTTGCTTTGACCAAAGCAAACAAAGCTGTCGCGTGAGCTAGGCATTTGTTTGAGTTTCCTGGGAAATTTCTTCAATCTTTCAGCGATGCAATTTACGACAGCAAGATGAATACGAAAAAAATATCAAGCAATCGCCCGAGGATATAGAAGGTGTAAGATACGAAGTAGTTGTCTCGGCTGAATCTAAGGAATCAGTTTTCTTTGTAGTCGTTTGCTTTTCTCCCTTCTGTTATAATCAACACGTTACAAAATGCACGCAATTATAAATGTTTTTCGATAAATAAAGCGTTTAAAATGGAAAATAGATCATGGTGCAGGTTGAATTAAGAATTGGCAAAAATATCTCCTTTTTAGCAATGTTGCGGAGCTCTTAAGTGCTGAAATTAAAACACATAATTTATCCTACTATCGAATGTAGTCAAAACTGAAATTATAATTTTTTTGTTATTTTGTTTGTTAACAGTTGGTCAAAGAAGGTTTATAGTCAGCTTGGTTTCAACCTGTCTTGGATAATTTTTTTCATGGATGTACTTATACAGATTAACTTCAATTCTTATTAATTTAAAACGTTGCATCAAAATTAGCATAGGCCGTAACTGATGTTGGTGTGTTTTACTGTCATGTTACCGAAACCTCTCAAGTTATATAAAACCAAACTGCAGCTCGACTGATTAGATCAATTTTACAGCGAGTACGCATCTTTTCATTTCATGAGACGTCTCCGCAAACTCCACCGGAATACCATGGCCTTGACACTGGGAAAAAGAAAATATTTGTTTGGTCCACTGACATGATTAGGCAAATGTCATTCTCTCTCTGCCAACACAAAACTGAAAAACACTACTGTTTAACATAAATCGTTATATCAAATTTATATCGTAAGTCCTGATTATTTATGCTTTGTCCGTTTTACAGAGAGAAATTTTCTCGGATTATTTTTCGTTTCTTTTTCGATGGGCCTGTCTGAACTGACATTGAAAATTGATAATTGTAATAAGCAAACAGGGTGAAAGAAAGCGAACGACAGAGGGACATGGTACGAATCAGATCCGGCAGCTTTCATACTAGTCGAAAAAATTTCGCCTGTCACCAACAGTTTGGTCAAGGACTGTCTTGTAAGCCTTGCTTTCTTTGTGCATCGATTGAAGGGATGAAAAAAAATGGAAAGAAAGCTAGGGCTAAAAGCTAAACGAATTTATCGTTGGCAAATGCGATTGGGAAAACCCTTTTGCACCCATCTCTTTCATTTTAAGACTACCTAGCAATCTTCCCGATAAAACTGTGAATGTCATTGCTTGATACCTGCTGCCATTCGCGCCAATCCGCCGGGTAGAAATTAAATTTCCTTTGGATCTGTATAACGTGTTTCTGGTGCGAGGTGTGCAATGTTTATTTACAGAAAGGCAGGTAGCTCCCTTGGTTAGGTAAATATGTCTGGTTTTAATAACCATTTTCTCTAATTATTTCTGGTCTTTATCGAATCGTTGATTGGTCTTGGGAGGATCAATTTGTCCAATTTTTGAGCCAATTAATTGTTGCTATTGATTTGTCATTTTCATAGCACTTTGTACCTGCGGACGGACCACGAGGCAGGGAAATAACTTCGTTGTCCCAATTTATTTTTTGCCCCTCACGGTAAGTGGCTTGTAGCATGTTTAAAACG